TAATCAAGCAACTTCATGATACCATATTCCACCTAGGAGGTGGGATGTGCAATCCATCATTTCATCTCCATTTTTTTATTTAAATTTACAAAATAACATTAATTTCTTCTCCTATTTTCGCAAACGTGAATGTGTCGGCACCAAGATAACCCAACCCCCCTTTCCTTCTTCATCTTCATCATCATCATCATCTTCTTCTTCTTCTTTTTTTTTTTCTTTAATATAGCCTTTTTTTTTTAATTTCGTAAAGAAACAGAGCAATATTTTTTATTTCCTCAAATTTTCAATCTGTGCAATGAAAAATTGAAAGGGGCAGTGGATTATGGTTGAAGTTGGGTGCTGTGCAGAAAATAATTGGTGTAGAGAGGGGCGAGGAATTGGGGCTAAAGTTGGGTGCAATTTTCACAAGAAATTTGGCGTAGGGCGGGGTGGGGGATTGGGGCTGAGGTTGAGGTAATTGGGGTTGGGTTGGATGGATTTTCACAGTGAAAGCTAGCGGCGGCGAAGGTCGACGCCGGAATGGTCGGCGACAGGGGACAATGAAGATAATGACGGTAGATGAATGCAATGAAACAATAATTATGTTATTGTGTTTAGGGCAATTATTGCAAATTGATTTTTGAATGAAGGGTAGAAAAGTAGTTTCAACTTAAAAAGTATAATTACCAAACATTAACCAAACAAGTTAATGGAAAAACTAATTTGATGGATAGCCTTGGATGTTATCAAGAATATTATATCATGCACAATCACCCTTTAGCAACCAAACCCACCCTTATATAATAAGAATTAACATTTATTCAAAATAGTATGTTAAATTATAGTCAATGTCGGATTTACATTAAATATTTTCCAAAATTGATAAGTTTTTGTCCTTTTCACACTTCTCATTAATTATGTCCTTTTCACACATCTAATTAATTTATTAATTACGACATAATTATCATAAATCATTCCATCTGAGCTTTTATCGTTAAAATGTATAGCGATCTGACCTTATCCCATTGATATTTCCATGAAGCGTCCTTATCTTATTTGGTAACCACTCTATATCAATAACCGGATATTTGGTTAATGATAGCACACGTCTTTATTTCAAGGAGTGGATATTCTTTGACCTTTAATTAATCTGAACTGATTGCCTTGACTTTTCAATTTTTAAAAACTTTTTTTTTTAAATATTTCGGCTTAAGATTCGGATTTCATTATACAAGTCATCGGATTGTTTGAATGAAAATGAATGAAAAGAACACCAAAAACAGGTAGCTTTATTCATATAACCAATCCTAAAATATTAGTTTGTTCACCAAAAAGAGACAAATCCTAGAAATCCTAAAATATTAGTTTGTTCACAAAAAATATTAATTTGATTTTTAGGATTTGTCTCTTTTGAAAATATTAGTTTGTGATAATGAGGAGTTACCAAATAATCAAACTCGTAATGTTGTGTACAAGGAGGTTTTTAATGATATATGATTGTTACCGAACTTTTTATGATTCAACAATGTTCCTATGTATTTTAGTGATTTCAATTTCGATCCTAATGTACGTGAAGTTATATTATTCTTTCAAATTTTACATCCCATGCATCGCACGAGTCACGTACTAGTATATTGAAAAAGGTTGATGGAAAGATCATTTGTTGAAAGTTTGACCAAAAAAATAAAATGTTTGATTTACTATTATTAGAAATTTTTAAAAAACACATGTGAATCTTTAGTAACAAAATCTGAATCTCATTCATTTGGTAACAAATTTGGAGAATTTTATGACAAAATTTTGAATCCCATTTTTTCGTATTATCCATAATCTGAATCCCATTTTTTTAGGTAACAAATTTATAAATTCTAATGCAAAAAATGCGTCAATTATTTATGAAAATAATTTCAAATACAAATTAATTTCAAAATCGTGCAAATTGGATACATATTTGGGAAACAAATAATTGTATAATTCTTAACATTCTTCCAATATTTTGAATAATTTTATCTTTCAACAAATGTGTGCAAATTGGATAAAACTACGTGCAATTTTTAATTTAAAACAGAGTTGAGATTTGGACGGGATATACATTCAAAATCGTATCCACATTTGTTTATAACAAAATCGATTCATCTTTGATTTTAAAGTAAAACTTTATCCAATTATTTAGAAAAAAAATTCAATAATATCAAAATCCTGTGCAACTTTTACAAGACCGTGTGCAACTTTTCAAAAATGCACCATTTTTTTTATTCTTATGTTTTTTTCTTAACTATATTTTATCGAGATTTTGGTAAGTTCATATCATTTTTTTCGTTAAGTTCGTATCAATTTTTTTAAGAAAGAAACAATTTCACAAATTTTAAGTTTTTAACAAATTATTTTTATTTTTTATTAGAATTAATTTTATTTCAATTTGTTTGGTAAAAAAAATTGGTGCAATGTTAGGACAATTTGGTTACATTTTTAGGAAAAAAATGATGATTCTTTTCACTTTGTTTTAACCAAATATCCGGATTAATTTGTTTGGTAAAAACAATTTGTGCATTGGTAGGAAAGTCGGTTTTATTCTTAGGAAAAATTAATTATTCTTTTCATTTTTTCATAATCACAACATTGAATTAGATATTTTTTTTTTTAAAAAAAAGGAGTGAAAATCTTAAAAGTTTCTACTTTTGGTCTACTAGAATTTTGTTTAATAAATAAGAACCCTTAATTTTTTTTAAAAATATAATTTGTTAACTAATAACTAATAATATGCAATTTTAGATAAATTTTGAACATACATAAAGTACTTTACGAGCCAAAGAATCAAACCAAGAATGTTATAAGGAAGCGTTCAATAACATATAAATTTTATTTTCATGATATTTTTAATGTCATTAGACAAATTAAATATAAAAATAAATTTTAAAAGGCAAGTAGGTAATAAATGTTCCCGTGCATCGCACGAGCACTGTACTAGTTTGTGTTTGAAAAAATATATGTATATATATATTTGGATATATGATTTTTTAATATATATTTTAAAATTAAGATTGTGATAAAACATAATATTTTTTAACAATTTGCCTGGTATATTTTACGTTACGCTTGGTGCTTATTATATTTTTACAAAATCTAATCAATGTACTTAAAAATAAGAACCACCTAGCTCTCAAAAAAAAAAAATTAGAGTTATCAATAATTATCTATTAAAATCTAATTATTTTTATATCAAAATATTTTTTTTATTAAATTTTTATATTATTTCAAATTCATTTTCTTATATTTTCCCACGCTTTCATCTCTATTTTTCAGCAAATAATTTTTTGAATAATTTATATCTTAATTTTTAAAAAAAATGTTTCTATGATAATTTTAAAATGACAGAAGATTTGTTGAGAAAAAATTCCAATCCACCTACTTTTCCACTAGAGTTGTTATTTGAATTTTAAACACAATTGTTTATGAACACAATCGATTCGACTAGTGAAAATTCGAAATTGATTAATTTGTTTACTTAAACTAATCAAACGCGTTGGTTAAATAAATAGGTGTCGAAGGAACAATCAAGCCGTGCATATTCGGGAACAATCTATTTACAATTTCAAGTTTGTTGAATGAGCCGAATTGAGCTATCACGTGTTTAAATACATCGAGCTTGACATGATTCATTTATTAAACGAGCACGAGTTAAAAAGTTAATTATTTTTTATGGCATAAGCAAACTCGTTAAAATTAGTATTTTACTTTTAAAATTATCATTATCCTTTTTTTTTTCAACTCATTAAATTGTTTATTTAAATTAGTAAATTATTTTTTATGGCATAATCAAACCCCTTCAAAATTCGTATAAAAATACTATAAAATTATAATTTCATAGTTGATCATAATCACTCAGTACTGTATAAACGACATATTACAATTAGTATAATGATTCATATGTGAGTTAAATAGTTTATATTTATATATATTTTTTTTATTTTTACTACTAATATCATTATAAAATGTAATTTGCTCATTGATTTTGAATATCTATACACATATATACCTTATAAAACTTTGCATTTGTGCATGTACATAGAATCGAGTACTAGTTAGTAATTATCAGTTCATGAATACGATCAGTTGGCACAACCCGGACGTTACTACATTCACACTGACAAAAAAAGAAAAGCCAGAGCGCGAGAACGTAATATTAGTATTCGTTCATGTGCATATGAACATATAACATTCCCATTAGATTTGTGGACATAATAATACAAGTTCCGAAAAAGCTAAGAAACCAATGTTTTGGAAAAAGCAATTTAAAAAAATGCAATACAACATGACAAATATAATTTTTTTCCTATTTATCAAACACTTATTTGACAAACATTATGCTTCAAAAAAATTCTCTTATTTGACAAACCACGTCAAATCTATTAAACTACTAGCTAATTAAAAACAAACATAGACTTTCCGAAGTTTTTTTCCCCAAACGAACAAATTATATTAATAACTCAAGCAATACAAATAATTTACCAACTGGTTAAGTACAAATCATTCTAGTTGGATCACCTAGGACAAGAAGAACCCGGCCGAGGTAAACTGCTCTCCATCTAAAGCTTTGTTTTCATTTTCCCTTTATTTTTCGTTCCTAGAGTTCTTTAGGCCGCCATGTGCGTGTCCTCTCATGTTTTTTTTCCTGTTTGTTTTTTAGGCGTGTTTTTGGTTTGGGCCGTTGGCCCCTGTCTCATTACCCTGTTGGGGTCTTAGATTACTCCGTTGGGGTCTTGTATTTGTCTTTTTGCACTTTTGTGCAGTTCTATATTACCTCTATCGTTCCGGGAAAAAAAAAACAAATGACAAGAACTAAAATAAACACTAGAGACAGAAAAACTACACAAATAAAATCGAGACGTCAAAATAAGAATATCATCACCCACAGAAACAATCACAGGTTCAAAGGGCAAAACACAGTTCAAACACAAAACCACAACATTTGAATCAAACTGGCAAACTACCTTCTTCCATACTTCTTTGTAAGCCTTTTCCTAAATCCATCTAATAGCTAAGAGTGTTGTTGCTTTCTGATCCTCTGCCCATTCCCATGAATCTTCCATTCTTGCAAGACTACCCCTTTCTTTGATTCCACTTCTCATATCCCCAACTTTCCCAAGGAAGAGATTCGAGCACTGACATGTAGAGACACATATCCAACTTCCTTGAAAAATTTCTCCACATGGTAGTTAGCAGGTTTAGCAGGAGCCTTTGAAAAAGAAGAATTTGTAGCTTCCACCTCAACACACTCTAACCACTCTCTTCTTGTTCCTTCCACCACTTCAACTTCCTGAAAATTATCCTTCCTGAAGCATACATTGTTTCTTGTCTTCTATATTCTCCACAACAAATAGACAGAAAGTGCCACTCTATCAACTAACTTCTTGAAATTGCTATTGGAGCACACCTTCTCCCACCATTCTTTAATGCTTGACTTTCCTCTCTCAAAGAATCTCTGTTTTGGTTATTGAGGTAGTTTCCAAGATTTGATCCACATTCTCCTCAATCTTTCATTTGCAGTACTAGTACCAGCCAAATGTTATAAACCTGATAAATAAGAAATGATTTCCTCATACGCAGATTTAACAGAGATGACCCCATTCTTACTGAAATGCGACACTAACGTTTCTTTGGATTGAAGATGACTTAGATGGATTTTAAGGATAACCTCAGCTTCAAAAGGGCTAAAAGACTGTCTAACTAAACTCTTATCACACTCTCTTTTTTTACCCTTAAACAGGTCACTAACTTTCTGAAATCTAGACATCGCTCTCAAACTGACAAGAAGGAGTGAAAGAAGCCAAATTTGAGACCCAAGGATCCTTCCAAATGTAAATAGAACTTTCATCTCCTATAATGAACCAACCCTCCTTTTTAAAGACTCTCTTACACTAAGTTAACTCTTCCATACCTACGAGTCAGTGTTCCTCTTTTTTACTTCAAATAAATTAACCCTACGAAAATATCTACCCTTCCGAACTTTGCTTAACAAAGAATTAAGTTGACTGAGAACTCTCTAGAATTGTTTTGACAATAAAAGCCTCATTAAAAATGTTAGAATATCATTTGTGAGTTGTCCCACATCGTTCATATATGGAAAATAGACCCACCTTATAAGACTAATGGGCTACTCCTCCTTCCACCAATTGGTTTTGGGATGGAACCCCATTTGGGCTTCATATCGGTTTTTCCCTTCTTTCATGGTGTCCTTCATGGTAGTGGGCCAGCATCCATTTCCCCCAGTTTCTGTCATGGTATCAGAGCCGGTTCTATCTTGGACCGTGTGATGACGTACCCATTGTTTATCCCCCACGTACCCGTTTATGGGAGCCTGTTTGTAGTAGGGCTTGGGCACCCAGCCCAGTTGGGTTTGGGCTTTCGAAGGACTCACAAGGGGGCGTGTTAGAATATCACTTGTGAGTTGTCCCACATCGTTCATATATGAAAAATAGACCCACCTTATAAGACTAATGGGCTACTCCTCCTTCCACTAATTGGTTTTGGGATGGAACCCATTTGGGCTTCATATGGGTTTTTCCCTTCTTTCATGGTGTCCTTCATGGTAGTGGACCAGCACCCATTTCCCCCCAGTTTCTGTCAAAAAACAACCACATTCTTGAAATCCTAACCCCTTGATCTTTAGACCTAGATAGATTATCCAAAGAAACCCCATGAATCTTTTCACCTTTCTTTCTTCTTTTTCAGACTTATCCGGCCAAAAATCACATTTGCCCTCATAATATGAGTAATATTATTACAAATTGAGACAAACAACTCTTTCCAAAGTTATATATTTAAATAACTCTTTAGCATTACGCTTCACAAAAATAATTTTTTCTTAAATAAAAATTGAAGGTAGTATGACGTGCACGTGCACACTTTCAAAAAGTGGACGTAGGAAAGTCCACCCAATATGTTATAACAACATAAAATCCTAATTTAACAATCTCAAATTAAAATGTGACGTGCTAAGTAAATTGAATAGCTGTATCTGAAAAATTACAGCTAATAGCCACAGTCAGTACATGGGACAAATTCAAAATCAGATTTCCTCAATTGTCACCTACAACGAAATTATTGTCCTCTCTCCTTTTTATTTCTGAATCATATACTATTTCCTATTCTACATTTCTTTTATTTAATTATTTTCAAGTGTCAGCCTTTCATGAAAATATAGATAGAGCCTAAAAATGGTTAAAAATAGAGTTATTCACAAATTATAGCATGCATACCAAGAGTCATAAAAAAATAAAAATAATAATACTGGACAAGGGGGAAAATAAAAACGGACATTTAAAAATGAAAATAGCCTAGCGTTTTCAATAAACTTACCATCAAATTCCAAATTATCCCAATAATTTGTAGCCTAAAACCCTAATCTGATTTTCAGCAGTTTATTTCATTCCAAGTACTATTCTTCAGGGTTCTGGGGATGGGGTCTGGTCGTGATTCCCTGCCGCGGAGCCCACCATAAACTGAAGCTCCCTCTTTTGGTAAACCTCCATCGATAAGTCCCTCAGCAGATGCACTGCGCTGGTTGTACCCGCCGCTACTGCAGTAGTACTCCCCCCAGGACTTGTACCGGGCGCTGTCACAGTTGCACCTTTCTTGTCGTCACTGCCGCAAGTACTGCCGTTAGCTCCCGCTTCAATCTCACCGCCGGAGACGGTAGAGCCGCCACCAGGGGAAGCCCCGAAAGTGACGAAGTTCGACACCGAACGCCCGGAGACGCTGAAAACCGGTGCCGCTGCGGCCGGTATGGCCCAGAACTGCGGCTGGCTGGACGGGACGGCGGCCCCGCCGGAAGGCGGGATCATGAATAGAGCGCCGCCGGGGAAAACCGGAACCAAGCCCTGCGGCACAATGGGCGCAACGGGGGCGAAGCTGGACGCGTCGCCGACTTCGTAGAACTCGCTGTTCAAGGCCCTCCGCCTGCGCTTGTTCGGGGTTTCCGGCGCGGCGGCGGCGGAGGTCGTCGGGATCTTCAGGGTGCCGTTCACTGAGACGGCGATGGCGGGCACTGTCCCGGTGCCGGTGGCCTCGATGATGGCCGGTTCGGCCCGCTCGAGCAGCCAGCGTATGGTCTCGCCGTCGGACTTATGGCCAAGCTCACGCGTCAGCTGGAATATGCGGGCGGCGCACGCCGCCGGCATCCGGATCCGTCGCCCGCGACCCTCCACCTTCGTATGGCGGTCCCTGTTCGACCTCTTCGGCGGCGGGGCCACGGTCACCATCGCCGCCGTCGGCGGGGGAAGCGCCGCCAGCTCCAGGCCAGATCCCTCCAGATGGGTCTCCGGCGGTTCGTTCTTGGGGGCGGAAGACGGCGTCGGCGGCGGCGGGGATAGTTGTGGTTGTGGGTCGGTCCCCACGGCCTCGACGGCAGCGATGGTGTAATCGCTCGAAAGAAGCGGGTCAGGCGAAAGGGCTGCGTTCCCACCTTCGCCGGGTTCAAGATTTTGGCGGTGTGCCGCCGTGGAGGGGCGGTGGTGGGGCAGAATTGAGGCCATGTGTGTGTTGGTTTTTGTTGGGGACGAAAATGAAATGGACCCACTTCTTATCTAACGGTGGTGCGAGATGAAAGGGGGGACCCTCACAAATGAAAATGACCTATATAGTGTGGGTGAAGGGCAATCGACGGTGGATAGGGTGTGACTGAGTTAATGCCATCTTAGGATGGAGACACGTGGTAGGCCCACTTGGGATAAGGGTTTGGAACGTAATTAATTGGGTCAAATCTTCCGGGTTTGTTTAGGTGGGTTTTCTGTTTTGAGTCCACATTAGGGTTGTAGTGGATGCTTTAGGGGGTTTTCTAAAATAGACTTGCACGATTTGTGAATTTGGGTGATCACAATTCACAAGTATTGCAAGTTGTGGTGCTTATGATTATGGGTTAAATTGGAGGATTGCTTTCTTTTTTTTTTTTTGATAAATTGAGTTATATTGTATGTTAGTATTGGACATACGAGTATTTAGTTATATTCAAGAGAATGAAAATGAATTACATTACTGAAGAATGACGATGCACAACTGGTTCAAACAACGAATATGAACTTTGAACAAACTCATAAAATAAATTAACAAAATAGAGATACTTGATGAAACACGTGTTGGTGTGTAAACTGAAAATCTAAATTTTTGTTAACACTATTTTTGGTTGAATGAGAATTATGTTTAATTAAACAGTTTTATGGTCTGATGTATCTAAATATGGTTCATCACGGATAAATAAAAGATCATACTATCAGTTACTTGTACATAAAGTTCTGGTTCACAACCTAGATAAAATTGAATAACACATCGCGAACGTTTGTAGTAATTTGGATCAGTTGATCTTGACTAATGAATTACAATAGTACACTATGGGTGCATTGAACGGATTCGCGAAGGATACGTTTATTTATATGGATCAAGTAAATAAACTGGAGCTCGGTAATTATTGTATACTTTTAACCCTTAAGATAATAAAGACATGTGCACTAAGTAGTTGTTACTTTGATTCACTAAAAAGTGAGATCAATTCTGCTGGATCAATAGTTTAGGTGAGTTGGGTAGTGATGTTGTTTGCATTGTGTGATGTTCGATTATTTACGGTCACCGTGTGCATTAGTTTGATTATGTCTCCGAAATGAGATCAAGAAGGATTGATATGTACTAGTTCCGGATTAAGAAGTCAATTAATTATATTGTCTGAAATTAAATTATTTGACGAATATTATATCTTAAACAAGATGATGTAAATCGTGTAATTTAATATGGGGCTTCAAATGTAATTTAAGATCTAAATGGGGAGTTCAATAATATTTGACTGAAAAATTAGTCAAGTGTGAACGGAGTTGGCCAGGCGCACAGTTGGGTCCACACCTGGGATGTCCATATCTAGCATCTTCTTAGTGTCTATGTTGTAGCTTATAAATATACCAATTTCCTTGAATGTTTCAACCGCCACTCTTATAAGATTGCACGCCCCAAACATTTTTCTTCACATAAAATATTTATTGTCGCGACTTTGTGCGTTCTTGATGGACATTGAGAATCCAAATGGATGACTTTCTTTTTGTCTTCCACCAAGACGAACGAAGTCGGTGTAAAATAGTACAACACAAGATTCTAAGGTAAACAGAGACACTCGTAATATGCACGATAAATCATGGACACCGACGCACCACATGCAGCCGCCGACAATCAACCCCGACCGTCGGAGACATGCCGCACACACCCACCGACGATCAGCCTCGACCACCGAAGACGCACTGCAAGCAGCCGCGCATAATCAGTCGCTGCAGATAGGCAGTCGGGGCCAGCTGGGCAAGTCGCGTCGCTGTATGATCTGGTCGCATGTAGAAGGGCATGCTCGCAGCCCCTTGGCTAGTGCAGCTCGGCAAGGCCTGGCTGCAGACAGACGAATGTGCGAGTTTCTTGTAGGCGTTGCGTCATGCGCACGACAATCACGCCCAGCCTTTGATGGTCAGGCAACACGCCTACAGTCGGGCTAGGCGCACAATACCTGCGTGACTTTTTCAGGCGACAGATTGGTATTGCGCATTCTGCATATGCACGTCGGTGCCTCCAATGACATTGTCATGCAGCGCAACAGACACACGTCCAGGCCACGCACTAGACAACCTGCAGTGCTCGCCAGTGCATGGCAGCGCATGACAGCGACCACCAACAGCCTGGCCACGGTCCAACAACCCTCCAGGAGACGCGGTGTGACCAACAACAGTGTGGTGACGCCTAGAAGATGCTTAATGACTAGTCACCGATGAG